GTTTTTCATTTTAGATTTTTCCGAACCATGTGTGAACATCTGTAAGTTGATCATGTTACCTAGAGCACGTAAGTATTTTTATTCTTATTTATTTCATAATATTTAATTGATTATATTTGTCCATAATTCACTATTTCTTTTCGCTCCCTTTATGTTAATTTTCCAATTTTCTCCTCCTAGCTAGAGACCCACTGAGGACGGAAAAGTTTTCCCATAAGTAACTCACAGAATAAAATTAATAAAATTATTAAATTTTTGTGGATAATATTACTTCTTCCTTACGGAAAAAACTGTCTCACTACACTTTGAATCAACTCTCTAAAAAAGCCTCCAAACACAACTGAGATAACATGCTGTAAAAACCCCCAAAAAAATAACATTCTGGATAAACTATTCCAAGATGATCTAAAACCAAATGCCCAACATCCAACATCTAAACAACAACCTGACAATCAGTGTACGCCGTCTTACATCCATATTAAAAATTCTACTTAGATATGCTATGAACAGTGACTTTGCAAAATGGTCACTTGCACCTAAAGATACAAAAAGTCGTTCGGAAAATTTTTGAAAAATTTATTCACACTTTCATCATCCAAACGCGAATGTTGAAGAAAAATGAGACAAACAACTAAAAAACAAGAGTCCGTGCTAACACTGTTTAAAAAATTACAAATCTCAGTACTCCCATGTAGTAATATTTGATATATTAATCTTCACAAAGAAGACACTTATGAAGAAACAAGGATTCTGTTACTCTAAAGCATAAAGTTCGTGAACAATGATACTAGACAAAAAGAAATATGCATTTTTACACGATGCGGAACTCACGCTTTCAAAAATTACACTTATAAGCATTACACTATATAATTAAACTCCGCTAGCGAATTAAAAAAGTAAAATCTCAATACACATTTCCAAATAAGATGAAAGCTTTCCTGTTAAACATAGCCCTGGCATCCAGTTCCTATTATTACAGTTTCAAATTTTTTTTTCTTTACAACTACCACTTACAAAAATATGCATTAGCATGTATTTATACGAACATTAAATTCAATTTAATTTCTGATTGAATTCAATGGTTTAGAAATACCATAGTATTGTACATTGTATATTATGCACATATTTGACTTTCCTAATGGCTTATGCTTATTTATGTGACAAATGTACTAAATATTATTTAGAAACATTTAGACCAACCATTCTTTACATATCATAGAGCTTTTTTTCTTCTTGCAATAAAATATAATTAGGTATTTCCAAATATTTTGTTTACATATTATTTGCAATGTGTTAACTATAGACCAAGCAATTTGTTTGTTCTGCAGGTTATCCAAAAAAGTAAAAAAGGTGAAAATTTTTTGATTTATTTTTTACATTTTACAATATAGTACAATTCTGCAACATTGAATTTAATTTCACTTCAGCTTAGTTCATGTGCCCATTTCTCCCACATCTTAGGAATAGTTATCTTCATTCTGGGTTGGAGGTCACAAATCTTTACCACATTTTCACATACGTTCAAACATTTATTTCCCCCTCTTCAATTACATTATGCTTATGTATGTGTACATAAAAAATTTTTATATTAAGTCTTTATTCTTAGAGATTGCAATTATACATAATAAACACACACCCTCATATTGAAAGCTCCCTGCTTATCTTTCCAGCAACTAGGGTTCATCAGAATCAATAAAACTTTACTACTTTATGTAAATTGTTTTATTTGTATTAACACTTACATGTAAATTAATTAGCTTAAATCCAATACATTACCCACATTCTTTTTTACAATCCTTTATTACCCAAGAACAGAAATCATTCCTATAATAGTGATATTCATGACCTAGCATTCACTGACCTCATACCCGGGGATTGCTCTGCCCTTAATGTAAACCTAATTTCATTTACACCAATTTTGTAAAAATATCTCCCGCTGTTATTAGTTAAGAATATTACACATTTACGGTTAAAATATTGTGCACCATTATTGATAAGATTATCTATTGAACAATTAACTGAAGATTTGCAACCATATGAGAAAATATATTTTCTACTTGTCTTTTTTTTCTCCAAACAAATTCTAATAATCTGAAGTTACTTGGGCTTCGAATTAGTGATAGAATATACCATTTTGATGGAGCAGTAAAAAACATTCAATTTGAAAATAAATTCAGGATAATTGAGGATAATGATGTTTTCACAATAATTTTAAAAATCTTGTGACATCTCTCCAGTGATGGTAACACCTTTCCTTTCTATTTAATTTCCACACCCACAATTAGCATTATATCCAAGATAACTGTATTTGCAACAAGCCCCTCCAGCATCACATTCCAAAGCATAAACACTATTAAATCAGATTCACCATACCATCCACAGTTCTCCTTTTGAAACAACAAATTAAGCATTTCTGTGGAACCTTCAATTTTCTCTTACTCCAATTGGGAAGCCAACCTGGGTACTAGGGCACTGAAATCTAAACACACTCACTCTCTCACTCAGCACTCTTCAATCCTGAAATAGCCTGCACCTTCATAATTGAGGCTTCTTCTTCTAATCCCCGAAACGTTAAATCATCAATTACGTTTCGTTTACCACCAAACACTGATTAGACTATGACACTAACAATAATATTACTTACATAGTCATTCCAGCAATCATCGTCATTCACATCCACTGGTTCTTCTTTAACCTAGAGGTAACAGAAAAACCAATTGTTATAAGCAATCATAACATTAACCTAAGACACAATTAAAATGTATATATTACAACAGGGTTTGAGCTTCATTAAGTGCTTGTAACAATCGAAAAATCACATTTTAACATGTCAAATAATCAGAAAATGCTTACTGATTCTATTTTAATAATGCTTTCTGATAAAATATTGATCTCTTCCATCACTAACACAGACTGATCACCAAACGCTGAGCAATATTCCTGTTGTTGGGAAAGTTAATATCCAAGTCCAACGTGAGACCAAACACTGCATGGCAAGGGCAAGTAACGTATAAGATCCCACCGCCAGCTTTCTCACAACACAAGGTAACGCAAGAGCTGACGCTAGCTCCTTGACGCCGTTCGGTGACTAACGCCATTGTGGCGCTTATGAGAACTATTACGAACGGATCCCACAGCCTTCCATCCTTGTCTTTCAGTCTTTTGGTTGATGAACATTCGTCTTTGGCAAGGCGCGCGGCTTCCAACTTTTTGAGGTCTTTTCCAATGTTGTGTGTAAATACAAACACATTAATATTCAAAGAAACAAACTTAACATTTAACTACGAAGTTAAATTTCATCAAGTGAAAATATATTTGAATGGTCAAAATGCAGTAGTTTCTATTTTTCAAATCAAATGCTTGTAAGAAATGACCAAGATCAGCAACAGTTGTTGAAATCATTGTTAAATAAACCTATTTACTAAAAAAATTAACATTGCGATATTCTTTCATTCTTCAACAATTAGCAAATACATATGAAAGGTAAAAGAGTTTCTTCTGCACCCCGAGAAAAAAAATTAATCTATTATATTATCTGTGGACATCAAATAATGATTTAAAATATAACATTTGACTTGGAATGACATAGTAAAAAGCATTTTAAATACATTTTTCCCTTCCAAGCAAAGAATTCGCACGGAACAAAAATCCTTATAATTGTTAGTGCAGTGTAAAATCGGCCTATCTCATTTTCGACATTTCCATTTAAATGAATATATACTTTATCCACCAACACAGAATTAATAATGAGGCCCCAAAACTTATGTATTTTTATCCCCTATATCTCTAAGATTTACAACTCTTTTGGACTAAATAGTCTAGTAGTATATAGCAGATTTATTGAATATCTTCAAATGAAATTGTCCATTGTATTTTGTATCATTGAATACATTGTTCCTATCAGTGGAATAAAACTCTTTGTTCTTGTAATAAACTCTTTTAAAAGTGTTTTATTTTTTTTACACAAATTACCTCTGGTTCTTTACTTATTGAATTATCATTTCTTTTGTAATTGAGTAAAGTGAAAATAATATATTTCTAAATTATTTACCATCATTTTATTTTAATTTTTTATTTAGGCTATGACTTTATGGCAATTCAATGTAAATCATGAAATGCTGAAAATTTATTAAAACAATTCGAATCCATTAATTTTATTGAAAAGTGGATGATTCTGGGCTATTTTCTTTATAGTCAGCCATCAATATATCAAAATATTTTTCAGATCCTTGAAATGTACATAAAAGAGTTTTCTCTTCGTTGATATCATATATCATGGAAACAATTAATAGTGTATATAGACTAATTTGTAACAGTTATATGAAAAACTCAAATTAGGAAACCTATTTCTTTGAATTGATGTACATTTAGTCAAGTTAAATAAGCAGTAACATCTTGAAATGTCTTCATTTTGATGTCATTGTGTCTTTCTCTCAACTGTTTATAGATGGATGTAATACCATACACACTCACGCGCGCGCACGCGCACACACGCACATATACACACATACACACATATATAGATACATAAAAACCTTCTGGCAGTCAGTGGCTTGAATATTTTCAATTCATGAAATTATTTTGATTGTTCCTAACTAAAGCTTAAAATCAGTATTTTCAACATTGTTTGATTATTTAATGTTAATATGTTCAACACTTCTATGAAACAGCTAATCAAAATCAAGGAGCTAATTCTTTTCAGTGATTACTTAGTAATGGTCAATACGATTAATAATTGCTTTCAATATCGTGTTAAATCATGTAGCACACTATTTTACGATTTCAAAGATATTCAATTATTAAATTAGGAACATTTGTAGCAACCAAACATTTGTAGCTTTAAACAAAAGTAAAATATCTTATTTTTCTAAACTTCAGAGATTCAACATGTCGCTCATAAAACTGCAGAATGTTGTAATAAGAACTAAAGTTTACAGAAGTAAAAAAATCTGGACAAACTTGTAGAGTTTCAAGTTAGATTATGGATTTTATGACGTTAGTTTTATAATTTGTCATTACAATGAATGGAATTTGATATATTTTAATTGTTTTAAAATTATGTGGCATACAAGATTTTGCGCAAACATAATGCCTTGTTCTTTTTGCTTTAAATTGGCTAAACGATATTAGCGAGAGGATCTGTGAAACATTTAGAAAACATATATAAAAATAAAAGTATATAATTACTGCTTATGGAATTACATATGTGGTTTCAGGCCAACACAATCATTCAACTTTATAATACTACTTGAATTACAATAAAGATTAACTCACAATAATAACAGAAGTAAACAATAGCAAAACTTCTTACAGGAGTAAATTATTACAATAATGTATAAGACTATTCTGTTTGCTGATGACACGAATGTTCTTGGCAAAAAACTATTAATAGTACTTTGTTAGAAAATTCAAATTGGTTTTGTAATAACAAATTAATAGTTAACGAAGGTAAAACAGTTTCAATGCATTTTTGCAATTGTAATAAGCAATTGCATGCTCCACTGAAAATTAACAACACGCAATTAGCTGATGATAAGGTAACAAAATTTCTAGGTCTCTCAATTCATTCAAACCTCAAATGGAATGCACATATAACAGAATTAAACACTAAATTAAGTTCATTATGTTACGTATTCAGAATTCTTTCCAATTCTGTCAGCCTTCATGCAGCTCGTTGCGTGCATTTTGCAAATGTACTACATTAGCGTCTGAGATATGTCATAATACTCTGGAAAAACTCATGTAGTATTACTCGCGCAACTTTTCTTGAACGATGGATTGAAGAAATGCGGGTAGAGTGGGGGTATTAGTTACATAATCAGCCACAAGATTTTATGAAGGAATGCCAATCTCTGGAGTATCAGTCATGCCTTCGCAACTTTCTCAACAATTTGCGTTCTAACTTTTTCAGAAGTTCGAAGTATCTCCTGTGATGAATCTTCACCTGCTTCGGTCATTTCTTTACATTTTTTGGAAAAAATCGCAGACAGAACCTCTCGTCTTCAACAGAAAATAGTTTGTCGCGCCCGTGAAAACTTGTTTGGAATGTTGTAATCAGTGCAAGCAGCGGGCTTGTGTCTTCAACTGTTCATTGTGTCAGAGAAGGGAAAGCAAGGTTATCCTTCAAGAAAAGTTTCGCGAGTAATAGTTAGACTTTTAGATTGCGAAAGAAAATTATTCGAATAATGAAAAAATGCCGTTCGCATGATCTATTATCACCTCTCTTCATTGAGCTTGGAATCTTACCACTGCCTTGCCTATTTATTTACGAATCTTTGATATTTGTCAAAACTGACTTACTTAACGATGGGAACACATTCCCATACAACACTGAAATTTATTATTACAACACACGTCGTAGAAAACACGTCCATCAAGTGTCAGTATTAAAATCTCACTATCAGAAATCCACATACAATACATGTACGATACTTTACAATGCACTACCAGATGTTTTGTCATTATTACCCACAAAATATGAGCTCTGGCTACACCACGTAGAAGAGAATTTTTTTTAAATTTAGCATATGGATTTATCCACCTTTTCATTACCAGGCAATAAGTTTTCTGCCGAAAATTAGCACAGGATTACAAAAGTTTCACTTTACTCCGTAGCGAAAAAGTAAACATTATGCAAATGTTTATGAAATGTCTCGCGGTATTAATATAGACATTTAAAGCGATTTACAAACATTACTACATTTACGAGTGGAAGTGCTTTACATGACTTTCAGTGATATTTTTAGAAAACCCCAAAAGTTTACTCTGAAACTAGCGGTGCTACAGAAACACATTTGTTCTCGCAATATTACGTTATTGTTGATTTCTGCCTTTTAGTACTTCAATTATTAGTTTATCACGTAAATAAAGGTAATAGAACGCCCAAAAAAAAAAAAAGAGGAGAAAAGATTATTCCTAAGCAAAAAACCATTTTTTTATCCCAAATCTTAGAAATTAAGCAATATGGCCCCTTTTAGATTTAACGCGTTTTCCTTGAAACTAGCTTCTGTGGTGTAATTTTAGTTCTGAAGTTTTATTAATCTTAGCAGCAATTGATAATCTTGGTAAAAACGATTAAATATCATCCAGGTCATTAGTAAATACCTATCTACAAATGTGTTTTATTGTTTCATTTCATAAGCCATGCTCATTTTAAAGTATATTACATTGTATTTTTTTTTCTCGAATTTTCAATTTACGTGTGAAAAAGCTTTAAGAAATTAATTCTTTGTATAAACTGGTGTAATTTTTATTGAGTCTTCCATCTCTATAACTTAATATTTTATTTAATATTTTCAGAAAAAAAACTTAATACATGAATTTTTGTAAAATTATCATTTTTGTGATTGAATCAATTATACAGCTTAAATTTTTGGTGAATTTTCATAGCCAAAAATAGCATTGTAAATTTTGATACAATATCAATCATGGTACTGTGTACTATTTTGGTAAGTTTGGAAAACCAAGGGAAATGAAATTAAAATTACTACTGTTTTTATGTTTGCAAGTTGATTCGACTTGTATGTAAATACCATAGCCAGTAAATATGCTTAGTGTTCTGGGGATTAAAGGAATTTGCATTTTACAAAAAAAAATTTTATGAAATGAAATTTGTGAAGCATAACTTTTAATTTGGCTAGTTTCTCCATAGTTTAGGCATCTTAACTAAAATAAACAATTTGGCCACAAGATTTCTTCTGTTTAGGCTGCAATACAAGATTTTATTTTCTATAGCTATCTGATAGGTTAGCTGCACTATGGACAATATTTCCAACAGAGTCCACAACACAATATTGCCTCATTAAACGATCACAGCGGTACGAACAATACTGGAATTGTTTACCGAATGACAGAATTTTGACGGTTAAGTAGAAAAATTGAATTAGATTTTACTATAATTCAATAATATTATCTACAGGATTTATTGTATCTGAAGTTCATTACAATTCAAATTTGGCTACATTTAATTAAAATCATCTATAATA